TTTTTTAAAATCGATAACTCCCAGTTTCGTTTTTTGACCACAAAGTCTGGATGGAGGAGAGGGAGAGAATTTGATTTTATAGCAGCCTTAACATTGAGTTTAACATGTAGTATTATGGGTTTTTATTTTTATCTATGTGATGATCTGTTGCAGTAGGATATTTAATGCTTATTCTGGTTCGTTGAATATTGAAACGGGAATTTTAAATGTTAAAATGAATCAAATTTTTTTTCGGTCAAAACTGGGAAGCTTATGCATGATGAAAGTAATTTTTTTTCATTAATAACTTTTTCACCGTCATGGACGGGTATTCTAATATGCCGAGATGGGAGAACCCGAAAATTATATTAAAACGTTTTTAAATATAAATTTGTAAATGATTATTCTTGCTTTAAAGGTCTTAACCTGAACCGTTGGCGATTCGTTTAAAAAAAAAAATTCGTCTTTGAATGTAATCTACACAACAAATCAACATGCATTATGTACATACAAATAAGAGTAATCTCTCCTGACGTAAGAAAACTGCTTATTCTGACAATGAAAATGGAACTTTTCATATTTTTGTGATAAGGACACAACAAAATTACTTTGTTCAAACCAATGCTGATTCTTCCTAACCTCGGTGCATTCAAAGGGTTTATAATAAAAAGATTAATATGCAGTTCCTTATTGACAAAAAAGCCTCCTACAGTAATCTGTTGGTAGACTGATGGGAAGAGTGTTGCTCATTTAAAAGCCATGATGTTTTTATATATCTCTTAAATCTTCCCTTTTCATTCATTATTACTCGATTAATAATTTTCCAAAAAAGGGTTTTTTACATCTCGTTGTTTTGCCCTGAACTTCATCTTGTTTTTTTTGAAAAAAGTTCGTTTATCTTTTTTTTGAGCCAATGTGTCTTTTTAAAAGGTCAAGGGATTTGCAATGACCAAGAACATAAAATTTATTTGTATTGCAAATTGGGAATTTGGAATTTGTGTGCAAATATATAGTAATTATTACCGTAAATCAGTACAAATGGAAAAGATGCAATATGGCTAATTAAATGTAGAATACACACCGAACTTATAGAATACAAATAGAAAATGTACACAATAGAATTAAAATACTAAAGAATAGACTACAAATAAAAGCATTAGGAAATTTTTATTAAAAAATTGCATACACAATTATGAAAAAGGCATAGTTCTCATATAGAAAAAGTAAATGGAGAGGCTGAAATGCAACGTATGCCGTTATACTCCAATAACAATATCAACATCTGACAGACAGTAAGGGAAACAACAAAAATACAGATACATATGCTGGAGAGTGTTTTACGATGCGGTATACTTATCAGCATAATATATTGCACAGTCACTGCTAATGTACACTGTTACTGGCATGAAACAATAAACAATCTCTTTACATTTCGCAAGATATATTTACCTGTACAGTAAGGTATACGAACCTGATATTAAGTCCGATGTGGTATAGTGGTTAGGATTTCTGGTTTTCACCCAGACGGCCCGGGTTCGATTCCCGGCATCGGAAGACTTTTTTTTTAACAGCATTATTTACATTACACGAGCGCCTTACAACCGGTATACATAAACATAGGAGGTGTATAAATATACTTTACTGTGATTATATCATATGTAAAACATTTTTGTGACGTCAAATTTTGTTAACTCTGGTCAAGTAAATTTCTTCTTGTCCTGCACTCTGTCTAAAAACACACGTAGGCATCAACTAACGTATTGGACAGCTACAGGTAACCTTTAATTGAAAAACAAAGGGTTGGACAGTGAAATAAACAGCAAAGTCCAATAGGTAGTCTGTAGGTATCCAATAAGATTCAACTTATCAGGACCGTCTAATATTTGACACAATGGACAGATTTCGGCTAATAACCATAACTGAATATATGGGTATATCACTTTTGTGAAAGAGGTCGGAAGTTATACACTGTACCTATTTTTTTTTTCCAACTAAAAACTTTAAACCTTGTAAATAGCATTTTAACGTTTTGATCATGGGGCTTTCCATTTTCAGTTTTTTAGGGGGTCGTATTTGGGCCACAGAAGTTTTGGTATAAAATTTCAGTGCAAATGCTCAGAAGCTTCTCGAGAAATCGCACGGAAATGAAAGTGTTAAAACAAACAGAATTTATTACCTTGACCCTTTGACCTCAAGATCGATAGGGGTCTTTCTTAGGCAAAATGTCGACTCTTTATATGGGTTAGAACTTGAAATAAAAGAAATAATGGTGTGCACCACGTACGTTTCATTTTTGAACGTTTACTCAGCTAATAACTAATAAAATTGTATGACAGAGGAGTTGACTTTACTTTTACCGTCGCCAACTCTCCATATTCGTGTGGTACTGTATATGTTGAGTATTTCAGTCTTATGTATGTATTTTTACCGATAAAGAAAATGTAAAGAGTTAGATTTTATACTGAAAACTAAAGCATTATATAATTTATATCCGAGTAGTGTATCAGTCTTGTTAATGGATTTTGGACTTGCTGACACAAATGTTTGTAACAATAGCTGCATCGCCCTGGTCATTCCGTATTCACCAGTTACTGTTGCTGGCACCCTCACATTGCAGATCATTACTTCCTTTTAACTTGGATAATTTAAGAATAATCGTTGGATTTCACTGTTAATTACTGGTACAAATGAATTCTATACACTTACGCCCTTTTTTTGAAAATAGGTTTGAAATAAAAGACTATTTATATTAAGTTCAATTTGAATAATCCATATTTTTCTGAGAAAATATTACTAGTCTACTTAAAATCAGTTTTAAAAAGTTCTAAAATACCAAAAAGTTACTTGCCAACAAGGCCATGTTAAAGTAAAGTAAGTTCTCATTCCTTAAGATATTTTATTAACCTCTCAAGTTCAAACTCCAGTTTAATTGATGTTAAAAGCTTCTTGAAGAAATACATGTATTTCATATATTAGAGAGGAAATCTGCATTTATTCTGTCTTTGAACCACTTTAAGGCAACTGAATCGTTCTTTGCTTCGAGATGTGGAGTAACCAATTTATCCACCATTTTATAGTAATCTTTCAGCCAAGATATCTGTCAAAGATACATGTAAGAACAGTGCATAAAACATGATATCACTTTTTACTGTTAAACAGGCCTAACTAGCACTCTTTATTCATATAAAATATCTTACATCCCTGTGTAAATATGTTCATTAGCCAGGTTGTTTTTCAGTTATGAATTACGAATCGGAACCTACATTGCAATTATAGCCAATACAATGTAGTGAAGTCATAATAGAGAGAGAGAGAGAGAGAGTAATGGCCATATTCTGATTAATTTTTCTGTTAATTTTCTAACAAACTTTAAAAACTTAACCTAACCATATTTAGATATACTGAGGATTAATTAAAAATAAATTTGAGTTCTTTTGCTAAAAACTCCATAAATTTAGTTTGTCAGTATTTGTTTATTCCATTTTGACGACGGTTACCTGTTCAGTTGATAATAATTCTGTTTTTATAAGATTGAACTCGTACGGTATTAGAACAACTGTTCAAAAGCATAGCAATGTTTCCCCCCCCTCTGCCTGAAATAAAATTATTTCGATAATTATATAATGCATTAAATAATATTTATGAAAAATTACACTGTAGAATCTGCTTGTAAAGTATATACAGGAAAGTAATTTACTTACTTTGGTGATAAACATTGTGTTCTCTAATCTCATTCCGAATTCTCCTTCACTATAAAAGCTTGGTTCTGAAAGATTTGTTTTTTTTTTTTAAAAAACTCTTCATATCAGCAAACTCTTTCCTCAAAGTACTCCAAAAGGGGGTTAAAAGCCTTGTTTTAAAAAAAAAAAAACTTGTAAATCGGAAATTTTCTAACATAATTATACCGTTGGAAAATATCATGCCTTCCCCCAGCACGTAGTCTCGCCCATCAGGGGGTCTCAATCTTGTGACTTCTTACAAGTTTAAAAATTTTTTATAAAATTATGTGAACCCTTTCGTTGTCTAGAAAAATCAAAAAGTTTAAGAAGAAATCGTTTTTTAAAAAAGCATTTCATTTTTCAAAACTTTCATTTGAAAAGGAACAATATTGATCTTTGTACTTTGCTTCAACTTACTACAATCAAATATATGTCTGTCCATCGTTACATCACTACTCCAGTCTTCAGAGATGTTTGAAATTGAGGCCGGTCCTGACATAAAAAAAAAATTACACGAGATTATTTTGCATTGTTCTCTAAAAATAAGGCATGATTGGTCACTATATTTTGATTAAAAAGGAACATTTTATTTGTCATTTTACATATCTTCTCAAGTTGATCTTAACCCCCTTTTGCCTTTAAATTGTTTATATTTAATGTCATAGTTGGTACATGTTCAGGTACATGTATTCTTTATTTATGAAATAAAATATAAACTCTTAATTCAAAATTTTGAAATTAAAAAACCTTCTATAATGATCCGTACACTGCTATCATATCCCCCTTTTTTGGGAAATTTACCCTACATCACGTAGGGGCTTTGTACATCTGCTGTATCAAAACTCATAAATGTTTTATCTGAAACTAAATACTAAAGTAGCCGCACTTTGCAAAAGTTTTGTCCCTTTTCGGGGTAACCTAAAAGTAAAAAGGGAGTTCAACGATAATGACATTTCTCCTTTCAATGCTACCCAACTTTTAGGCGTGCTCCATAAATCCACTGTTTTTAATTTTTTCTCTCTCATATATGGTAGCCCCAGTCTGGGACAATCAATTAACAAGATGACAGAATTTTTTTATCAGATGACAAAGTTACAAACCAGAAAACTAAAAAGGCTACTGTGAGGGTTCAATGGGCCCCCCAAAGATGGCGGTCAAGGAACACAACTTTTGAAAAGGGGGTTTAAAGACTGGTTTATTTACCTTATTTTCAACACTTTGATATATGCTTATAATTTTTTTTTCACTAGGATATAATTCAAAAACCTGTACTTCCTATGCTAAATTTTTTTTTCCCCAAGGGATTTTGTCATCAGTAAACGTGTAAAAATTCCTACAAAAATGTATTATTTTTGATTTTTCATATCGGATAATAATCCTGAGGAATATTTGTCGATTTGTGGTCACCCTTTCCAACAAATTAACCCCCCACGAACGATTATATTGTTTTATGAACATATTATTCATTTAATAATTTTCCCCCACCCCCCCCAAATCCCCCAAGCATCAAACTAATTTTTGTTCCCAACAATTTTAACTCCACGAATTAAAATAAATCCGATGCTTAAAAGGCTGGAAAAATTTAAAAATTTACTTATTTTATTAAACTAATACTTTAAAGGATGTGTCCTCTCTCTTTGACACAAACAAATAAACAAATCTATTGTAATCAAACATAAATTTAACCTTTTGTTTCTCTGTAGGATTCCAAAGACAAACAGCGAGCTATGTCGGTTTTCCATCCCTTAAAAAATAAACATATTTACCTACATCTGCCTAAAAAGTAAGGGATAAACATTTTATGCATTAACTTAAAATATTTTGCACCGATATCAAAGAGGAAGACATCATTTTTTTCCCAAAGATGCTCAGTAACTTTGGGCTAAAGCAGAGGTTGCTGACCTGTACCAATAAGAGATATTCCCCTAGGACCTTTGTTAACAGTTCATTCCTAAATAAAATTTAAAATTGCATTTAGATAAATTTGGCTAAGCTTTAAAGTTTTCTGATTTTTGTGGGAGATGTTTTTAAAAAAGATTAAGTTTTCCTAATTTTCCAAATTTTATTATTCTTTTTAATTTCTTTTACTCACTTCAATATCGTTTATTTTCAAAACTTTCCTTTTTTAATCTGTGACAGAAATTGGGTTTCATAAAAAAATACTGTTGTAATGGGAAAAAAACAAAAAAAAAAGATTTTTTGACTAGCTATTCGATCTTACCCTCTTTTCTAGTCCAGCGAAGTAAATTATAGAAAAACAGAATCTCGAAGCTGCAATATATTTTACAGGTCAAATTCAAGAGAAAGGATATGTTTTTTTTTTGAACCAAATTATGTGTAAAATTATTTAAAAAAAAAAAAAACCCTTAAATGTGCGTTTTTCCCTACAAAAATCATTTGTCAAGAAGAAAGTAACTTTTTTCTGTCTAAAAATATAATTTGATTTTTACAACTAACAAAGTTATAATTTTCTTTTAAGAACCATTTACCTCCGTGGAGGTCTTCATTGCTTCTATTTCAGCGCTATTTTTCACTGCTTTAAACATTAAAGGGGGTGTGTATTTATTAAAAGTTTTTCCTTCAACAAAATAAAGAAAAAATAAAAAAAAAACTTTAAAAAATTCCAAAAATAAAAATTTAAGAATTAAGGAAAATTTAATTGCGATGGATTTACATAATATGTATTTTTAAAAATCCTATTTTGGAATTTCCGTTATAAATGTTTGTCCATCCCAGAGACCCATACTTTTTAACATGTTCATCGCGTACAAATTTAATAACATCTTTTAATTTTGTGGGCTGTTTCTTTACTTTATACAATTCCTTTTTTAATCAAGTTTTTTCTTTTTTAACCCGGTTTCCATGCTGTCGTCTCTGTATATATTGATGTCCTGATAACATTTCTTTCAGACATTCACCAACTTAGATGAATTGGGGCTCGAAGAGTTTTATATCTACAGTTTCAAGATTTTAGTTAGCTTCTTCTGGCTTCCACCATGTAAAGGCTACACAAGTTAAAAGAGGTGAATTTTATATAAATATGTACCACGATTTCCCCAAAACATTCACATATTTGAAAAGAGAATATATTAACAAATGATTTATAAAATTTTTATATCATTATCATTTATTTGGCTGATTAAATCAAAATTTTTAAAAAGATTTACCTTATAATCCCATTTGGCACTGATTATACAAAACGATATGAAATATGGATCATATGAAAACCCTTTTTAGTTAAAAAGCCCTATGAGAAAAATAAGCTTAATAACGGTATTTTTTAGAATAAGATTTTAGAAGAAAAATATGAAAATTATTTTTAACAATAATGCTAATTAATAAGTTATCATTACATGCTATTTCACCCAAATTAGTCAAAACTTGAGATCTCAGCATTCTTTTCCTTCATGATATGTAATGTTCGTTCTATTTTGCTTTGCCATGTTTCGCCTGCAAAAGAAGCTTAAATAAGAAAATTATGCAGTACTGGTTAAAACTCATTAAATTTCATTTGAAAAATTCAAACGACCGATTGACAAATGTAAAATAATTAAAGAGTTGTGGAAGGATAGAAATGACTATCTTTACATTTTGATCTTATCTAATTTTACTACAAGAAGAATGCGACCTTAATTTGTGCGAAAAGCCATGTGAGCTTAAATTTTGCGCGGAGCCGTATATCTATACATGTATCATATTTTAAAATAATACCTAGTTTGGTACACACACTCATGATTATTAATTTTATCGTTCAAAACAAGCATGTATGTATTGTATTTGTTCCACTCTCGACTATATTGTGGATGAACACAGTGCACTGACGCTGAATTTAATTTACGATTGACGGAGGATTCTTCTAATAACGCGTAAACAAAAAAATTGCATATCAGAAATTTGTAACCAAAAAGAATGCATGGTATATTTTATACAGAACCTGAAAGCGGTGGTGGAAGGATGTGAATTGGTGAAGTTGGTAATGGGGGTCTGTCCTCCGTCCATACCAAATCAATAAGGTCCGTATACATAGGAACAAAGGTTGTGTTTTTCACTTCAAAAATCTTCTGAAAATTGTTCCACCAAACTAAACATCAAATTATTTTTTTTTTAGATATCAAGACTTAATCCAAATGTATATAAGCACATGAAAACTTGAGTAACTTTTTTTCGACTTACCAGCGCTAAAAAGGTATGGAGAAGCTCCAACAGAGATAGGGTTTTCTACATGTTCATAGATCCAGTCAACTAGAGACGTCGTTTCTTTACCGCCTATAGTGAGAATTACACTGGATTGTGATATTCCAGCTTTTTATTTTTTTTTACCAGCATACTTTTCATAAATTTAACAGATTTAATGAAAGATTGGAGTCAACTGAAACCTTTTTAAGGACTTAGTACATTTTGCTACGTACAAATTCAAAGACAAATTTTGATGACTTCAAATCCCCCGACGATTTTCAAGGAGGATGGTAGCGGACTGCTTTTCGTCATGTTTATTTCATCATTGTTATGTACGCTCAGCCTCGTTTTCGATTTTAATGACGGATGCGTGAATAGAGGCTATTCAGGCGCGGCTGGTACTACCTCGACCTCGGAGCGTAAGCCTCCTCAGGGATGTCGCCGGATGGGTATGGCGGGTCCGTCTTCCGGCTGGAGATGGAGTCTTCTCTTTGGGCCACTAAGTACTGTCGTAGTTATCTGTCAGTGATTTTGTCAACTGGTGTACCGCTGCGGTCTGCTCGACAATCGCCTCAACCTGCCGATCCCCTTGTCTCTTCACTTCGGCTTGCAGTTCTTTCATAGCTTCCACCAACTGGTGTAGGGAAATAACTCCGCCGCCTCCTCCAGAAGTGTGGAATGTGGGGTCTCCTTCTCTTCGGTACTCTTGTCCTTATTGTTTATGTTGACCAAATATGCGAGGGAAGCCGCCTGCTCCACCGAATCAGTAGATCGTCCTTCCAGACGAAAGGCTTTGAAGCCCTGACGATCTCAACCTTACCGTCCGTCCCCTAGTGTGGACCGTACCATTTGCCGTGAGTTAGTAGTTCTTTCTCCGTCAAGGCTACGTCGTCGCAGAACTTCGGGTAAAGGGGACTTCCTCTTTAGCCACATGACTATTTTGATAATGTTTTATTTAGTATTTCTTTTTTTATGCGATAAAGGATATTTTTATGTAGTATTTATTTTTAATCTGTTTGAAGTCGCAAAGAGTACATTGAAACACTCGCCCCTTCTTCTCGGCCATAGCCACATCCATTACGATACTGCAAAATTACAGACAAGTATTAGGTAAGGTGTTTCAATTAATTTTCTCATCTGCAAAAGGTCCTTGCCAACCCGTAGAAGTTTCTGTTTCACGATATGATCTTTGAATAAAAATTTTATGTTCACGAATGTATTTTATTTTTTAGAACTTCATAACATAGAGTAGATATCGACTGATATTTGTTAAAATCGGCCATTCATTCACACATCCATCTTTCATTCTTGCTTGAGTATGAATATCGTTTCAAGTTTATTTTCTAAAATTATACAGTATTGATATGTTTTATATCTCTTCTCTTGTCTTTATTTTTAAGTTGATATATTTCTTTATTCAAGTATAGGTTCAACTAATATAATAGATACACATGTACATGCTGAATTTAGCGAAGCTGTTCAAACAATCAAATCTGTGGGGAACAAGTCTGGATGTGAAGGAAATGGTATGGCTTATGGGTAACTCATAAAATTTTGCATGGAAAACAAAGGTATTTGGAATTGAATAAAATACTTTCATCTCTAGGGTGAAGTAGTATGATATGTCTCAAGGATAATCATTAAATTTCTGATAAGTGTGGCCTTACGTACCTGATATTCAACACACAGATTTGTATGTTCGTTGTTTACGCTTCGTCGCAAACCACGGCCAAAATGTACGCCCCTCTCCCATCTGAGAGAGGAGTTATTTGCGGACTCCGGACCGTGGCTTGAGACGATGTTGTTTTTACCGTCCCTTTCGAAAACTTGTTCACTCACATGGAGACGCCAAGACACCTCCGAAACAATCTTAATTAGTCATGGTAAATTCTATTATCGAATTGTTTCAAGAGTGAAGAATTCTAGTTAGCTAAAGGCATCAGACTGAGACATCGCCGTTGTTTTATGAAGAACTACTTCTCTGTAATCATATTTGGGCGCTATTTTGTTTCCGTCAATTGCTTGAAAATCACAGTTGAACAATGTCGGTCGTTCTGATAAGAACTGATTTTGATGAAATTGTATTATATAAAATTTGTTGACAATAAAAAAAATATTTTGAATCATCTTATTTTAAAAAAATCTTTTAGTCGCCGCGATTTAATTGGGTCGGTCGCGTTAGGGGAAACAAAGGTATTTTTTTATTTTGGCCTAAGTCCTCTCTATTTCAACTGCAAAGCCTCTAGATAGAACTGCTGACAGCACCAAGAGATACTTAAAACGAAAAGCTGAAGAAACTTTACATATGATGAGCACCTTGTCTGCTTCAACTAGTCATAAGTGAGCATGAAGAGACAGAATGCAGGCACGTAGCATCGTTTTTGAAAGTGGGGGCCAACCAGAGAAATTTTTTTTTACTTACCTGAAAAAGTTGACAAGCAAAAAAAAAAAAAGGAAAAACAAGGAAAATTAAAAGTTGCCCAAACTCGAAAATCCTATTTCGTAGGGGGGGGGGGGTGTATTGGTCAACTTTTTCACAGCTTTCTTTCATTTCCATTTTTTTTTGGGGGGGGGGTGTGGTGGCCAACTTTTTCACAGCTTTCTTTCATTTCCAACTTGGGGGGGGGGTGTAGTGGCCAACTTTTTCACAGCTTTCTTTCATTTCCAATTTTTCCCGAAAAATTCCTTCATATCACTATACTCTGGTAACAAGTGGGGGGGGGGGGGGCAACCATCTTTTCAATGAACATTTTCTATAGTAAAGGTAATGTTGGTAAAAGAAAGGGGGGGGCAGGCCCGGTTGCTACGTCCCTGGAAGAAGATTATGAACTCTTGGACACAATTATCAAACTACAAAGAGATACAAATGGATAACTAAATAAAGAGCTATCTCCTTGCAGTCATTTCAACAAGGACGTCCTTGTCAAAAAACTGGGTATGCAAAAAACATTCAAAGGAGCTACTATTCTTTTTTGGTAGTAATTAGCATTGAAAACTTCCCTTCTGACAAGTCGCTTGAAATATTAATCCACCTTTACGATAGGATTTTCAGCTTATTAAACTAGATGCTGTCATGAGACAGTAATACCCGCACTAAGGTGTTTGCCTCTAAATGCACACTCCTTGAAATTGGGCTTTACCAACAAAAAGTCAATATAATTCAATAATTTACATAATAGGGCCTCCATGTATTCATCAAATTAGCATAATATTCTCAAGTGACCATGTGACCCATCTGGTATTTCATATTCGTAATTCATTACCGTCTGAAATTAAACAACAGAATTTAATTAATGATGTAATTTAGGTTTGATATAGGGGGGGTATAATTTTTGGCCCATAATTAAATTTTTATCCCCCCGGGAAATAGTTGCGGAGGGGATATAGCATCGCGAATGTGCGTATGTACGTGTGTGTGTTAGTGTGTTAGGGGTTCGTTACCTTGTAAATTACAGAGCCCTTGCATTAAACCTTTTGGGTTTCAACTTATTGGGGGATAAAAAACAACCATTAATTTCAAACCATTATAAAAATTTCTTGTTTGATTTTTACTGCCCGAAATGAATTTTATGACAGTTACAATAAAATTTGTGGGGAAATTGATGAGCCTTTTATTAACCACTTGGGGGGTTTTCTTACTTCTGTATATAAAAGGGAAGAAGCCTATTCATTTTCAAGTTCAGTGATGAAATATTTCTTCAGATATCGCATTTTCACTGTCTCGAAACCCTGACATTTTATGTACAGTTGACAAAATTCATTTCTGCTAGAAAACCAGTTTAAAAGCCTTCAGTTGTGGGAACCAGATTAAAAAAATTTTGAACATCGCGGTTTCATTACCAACAGGTGTCTGGGAATTTGGGGTGCACGTTAAATTTAAATATTCCAGATTGGAAAAATTAACATAAACAAATAATAATTGCAATGTCTTACTCAAGAATGCTTACTTGGAAGATACTCATTGGCCAGTGAAAAAAAAAAAATTTTGGGCAAAGTTGTGTAAAATCAATACAGAAGATGTTAGATTTTAACTTTGACACAGATTTTAAAACTTTTAGTCCTAAACTTAAAAATTTCTCTAAAAATTTTTTTTTTCAACTCCAATCCATTAACAATACTCAATGCGGTAAGCTGTCATTTTATAGTACATTATTAACTATGATGCTAAGAAACTGGAAATCCAACCATACATGTGTTTTCCACTTCATAAGAATTTAATTTCTTATCTTTTCCCAAATTAAGAATAAGTGCACATAAGTTGTATGTAGAAACAGGTAGATATTGTAATCCTGTCATTCCCAAAAAAATAGATTTTGTTTCCAATGTAAAACTATTGTTTAAGATAAAAAATTTTTTTATTGTCCTGTGTATAAAAATGCCAGAAAAAAGTATTCAAGGTTACTAGATGTTGATGTCTTATCTTGTTTGCTTAATCCACATAACTTTGTTTACGAAACAAATATGTCTATATATCAGAGACTGTTTTGATATTAGAAACAAGATTACAATAGTATAATATTTTGCAATACATGTATATGGCTAACAACACATTCCTGTATATAAATATGTGCTTTAGTGCCAATAAAGAATTGAATTGAATTGAATAAATTGAAAGTGGGGGGTCTATTTGAAAGTTGGGGGGGTAAACCAACAAAAAAAAAGGGAAACGCCAATTTTAATGCCAGAAATTGTCTATATTTGCAAAATAGTGGAACCCCCCCCCCCCCCCCCCCCGTCCCGACGCCTATGTCACAAGGTCAATTAAACTCTCTATGTACATTGTTCTTTTTCATTACGAAAAAATGCATATTGCCTGGAACTGTGAGATATTAATTAGGAAAGGGAAATAATTAAAATTTCTGAAACTTTTACCATGTACTCAAAAATTTGGTATCCCTGTTATGCCCCCCCCCCAACCTAGACGCTATGCACTTTGCATTTTGTAAAAAAAAAAATTTGGGTCAACAACAACACTCCACTAATTATTTTGTCAAAAGTAAGGGAGTTGATCCTAATGTTGCGGGTTTGAATCCCACTGTGGGACGTGGAGCTGGTCATTCGAATGAGACCGTGTAAACCAAGGGTCTATGTCCAAATAGATGCTGGTACAAAAAGATACCTCACTGCTCGATGGCCGTCAGTGCTTATTATAGGAAAAAAATGTGCAGCTCTCCACTGG